AACCTCACTTGAGGGTGGTATGTTCAATACACTGTTTGCATTACTACATATAGTGTATAATACCCTTCCCTCAATGGTGTGCTGTGTAACACAGCTCAGTAAATCTTCACCATCACCTGAAGAAGACCAGCAGGATGCAGTCAAAACATAACAATCAATAACAAAGTGACTATTGAGAGACGTGACAACCAACCTTACTGGAAAAAATTGACTATTAAAAAGAACTGAGCTCTACAAAGAGTTTTCCAAATACAGCAAGGAGTTAAAGTTATAAGTACTGTCCAGTCACTAGGAATATGTGTAAAGATGTAGTTTAACAAAAAAAAAACAGCTGGAAGCAAGAGGAATCACAAGGATATGAGCAATGGGTGGAATTCATAAGCATTTTTCATAATTTTAGTTCTTTGTACATTAAACTGTAATAAAGTTGATAACAGAAAGCAGACAATACCTGAGCAGTAGCAACTCTGGCAATTAAGGATGCTGTTGGATGTTGAATTTGCTATAAAGAAAAACAAAAAAATTATTGGGAGTTACAGAGTGGTACAAATAAAAACATAACCGTTTGGGATCCTTATACTGTAGATCAATCTCTGTTAAAAACTAATGACCCACTTGCTAACTCTATACTCCTTTCAACTCAAGTAAAATAGTTAGCGCAGTATTACTAAATGAAAACTATTTTGAAATATTTCAGTCAAAAGTCATCCTTCATCATAAAATTTGCATAGCAATAATAAATATTTGAATAGTTAATTGCCAAAAGGCCACATTCAGTTTCCACCCACCATTTCATGAAGAAGAACATTTCCATCTTTAGTTAATTTTATGTCTCCTGCTCCTGACACTAACCTACCATAAAAAGAAAACAATTTAATCAGTCAAAAACAACAAAATGGGATTGTATATGTTACAGGTTGAATTTGATTTCACGTTAATTTTGATTTTACTTTGGTTGATTCTCAATTTCCAAACAAAATGTTTTTATGTTTTCAACCCACACAAGAGCTTTCTCTGCCACCAGCTGAATACAGTATCATGCAAAAGCCTGGAAATTCAAGAGTCCTCTATCCCAAAATGAAGAACTTGTTCACACCAAAAATTTGATTAAATAAAGGTGTGTAGGTGCTGTAATACCTCATGGAAGTAGAAACTTAGATGAATCAATAGTTACTTAGTTTGAACTTTGGTGCATCATGTGAAAACCAAGAATACATTGCATAGACCGTAGACTTGACAACCAGTTTTGGGAACACCTGCTTTAAATCAAGAAGATACTGGTACAGCGATGGCTGCCCATTTTGTGAGGACAGACCTCAAGTTAAACAATAAGTAAGTGGCAGCATAAGAGCCGGTCTCCCAAAACAACAGCAAAATGCAAGGAGATATACCCTATCAATAAGTTTGACACTTTATAGCCAGGTGGACTCAACTACGAGTTCACTTTCATATGACTTTTACATGCACATTTTGAAAAATTAAGGTTTTCTCGCAAGTAAGGTGATAAGGGATTGACACACATTTTCCTTGATGAAGGCAGCATTGCCGAAACATCGCGTGTACACTTCAATTAACTATCTTTCATTTATGATTTTTTGTCATGTTATTACATGGGACGGTGTGTTGAAATATTATGTAATCATACATGCAGAACCTTAATATATCTCCTCTTTTCTGTTTTCTGTATTTGTCACATTTCTTTGTATGTCTGTTTCACTGGTAATATTTGTTTTTTACTGATAATTAATTTAATTCTTTAATTCTCTAGCTGTCAATTTATTTGTTTGGTGTAGGTCATGTCTTCTTATTGAGTCTCTGTCAGATCAAGTTGTATGGCGGTTTTGTCTTCTTGACATTATATCTCCATGAATAAACATATTAAAATAGTTATCAGTTTTTAATTACAACATAAAATTATCAATTATAACATAAATAGACTGTACTAAGACGGATCCTAGACTTTTAATATATGTAGATAAACAGAGATTCAGTCCAGTGTTCTTATGAAGTGTTCTATAATATCAAGGAACCCCTTTGGGTTTTTTCCTCGCACTTTTCCAGTGTCAAATTTATTGTTCATATTTTACCCACATTATACACTTATCCTTCTCTAGATAAACTCTAGAAAACGTTCATAAAAGTTTATGAAAATGTCTCGTTTTGCTATTGTACAGAAATCAATACTGATCTCAAATAAGATGCTGTACCCAAAAACTACGTGTATGAGGTCAATCACAGGGTTCATACAAAAAATTGCAACCATTTTTCACGGACTTCTCAAGGACTTTTCAAGGGCTATATTAGATTTTCAAGGACCACCTACAAGGAATATAATTTCACAGACTGTACATAAATGCACATTCCCAGTGTATTCTAATAAGGCTTTAAGGCTTGAACTGTGTTCTTCACCAACTTCTCTACATTTTTCAGTTCACTTGTCTTAAATTGATAGTTAATTATTGCCTAAAACATTGAGCACTTTATGTAAATAACCTTTAAATTCTCTAAGCTACTTTGTATTCTGTCTTGGACAACCAAAAAGCATCAAAAAACACTTTCCGAGCCACTACATGCAAAGTTAAAGAAAATTCAAAGACTTTTCAAGGACTTGCAAAAAACTTTAAGGAGTTTTCAAGGAAAAATGGAATTCAAGGACTTTTTAAGGACTTCCCCTAAAATTTAAGGACTTTTCAGGACTGAGTGAACCCTGGATCAGGAGTTCAGGGGTGGGGAATTGTGCCCGGGGGTAGGGAATAGAGCACCAAAAAAGAGAAAAATTGCAAATCCCCAGGAATATGCCTGGGGGGGAATGGCAAGAGGACAAATAACAGAGAGAGAAGAAAAGGTGTTGCCGTCAAGCAAATCACACAGTAACCTGAGATCAGGCTCTATTTTCGTTTCGCTTTGAAAATTACATTCCGGCGGGCAAGGCGAAACAAAAAGAGAGCCTGATACAAACCTTTAACGAAATATCTGCCGCTCACTTTTTTGATTGATTGACATTTGCCGAATCAGCCAATCAGAATTACTTCCGTTGCTTGTTTTTCTAGTATGCAAATTTTTCACGCGTGGGAAAAATGCAGACTGGCTGACTTAAAAAAATAGCTTTTATCTGTTAATTTGTTCAGCTAAAAATAAAACAGTCAGCACAATCACATTTAACTTCTTGCAAGATTAAGGGAGATCTCGAAGGTTACTTCTATTGGCGTAGAAGGTAAAAAGTTTTCGACAAGACGGCGACACGATGTTCTACTAGTTTTATTGGCTAGGCGCTGTGGAATTTAAAATACTTAAATCTCTATTTTTTCCGTTGTCTTGATATTTTCCTCGGCAATTTCCCCCGATCGATATTCAGTACATAAATCTTTAAAAACAAAGGCAAACAGCCAACGAGCGAGGACACCAGTTTTCTTGGTTTATTTTTAACAAAAAGCGTAGTCAAACAACCAGTCTGTGAACGCTGAAAATTCCTTGAACAGCGATGCCATATTTTTCGTCTAATACTTCACAGTTGGCGATTGAGGTTTCTTTCGCAGTGAGCCTCCGCTTGCGTACCCCGTTCAGAGAAGTCATTCCTGGCTAAACTTTCAAATGAAACCAGTTTTAAGATGGACAGTATTTTTGATTTGCACCCGTTTGTTGGTAAATCAAATACACCTTGTTAGTGGTTAACAACTTGTAGAGGGATTCAACTCCGCGATACACTCACTTTCCGTAAATAAAGCAAATCCTGAGAAGATATGAACAACCACATGAATTTTCTCAATTTCCATGGCACATATTAAGGCATATTTTCCTTCCATAAGACCATAAAACAATAAAAAAGACAGCAAAATCGATCCTTCTCTCCACCGACGACGGATCATTCACGAAAACAACCACGCAAGGAATAAGCGCTTTCAACTTCCGGCGTTTCCGACAGCCAATCAGATTTTGTGGCATTGTTCTAACAGCCAATCAGCGTTACGGCCAAAATCTGGCCGTAACGAGCACAAACTTGTAATAGTTTGTATCAGGCCCAATTTCAGCGGTAGCCGTTAGAGAGAATGTATGAGAACCGCTCAAATTGGGCCTGATTTCAGGTTAATCACACAGGTTAGTCGGTAACCTAGCATTCCATCACTCATATCTAAATTCAGTACTCTAAAACGACAAAAAAGACATTACAAATTAATACAGGAGACGCTTAAGGCCCTGCTACACTTCATAACCCTGCTAAAAAACTAGGGAATGGGAAAACATGTTTTCAAAAATTAACACCTTTACATCGCACTTGGAAAGTTCACCTGACACTCCCTTTTTAATATTTACAAGGAGGAAAAACGTCATTGACCTTTATCGAGAACGACGAAAAGGAAATCAATTAAAAGAACTTTTCTCAAAAGCAACATTTTTTTGCACAACACAACTCTTTGCACGCTTGACAACGCCTCGAGAGTTGACATGTAAAAGCACGTGTTTTAAAGTTAAATTAGAGGCAAGCAAGCGAGTTTTTACTTACATTTTCATTGTCCCCTTGGGACCTAAATTTGTTTTAAGAACATCCTGAAGACCTCTAGCTGCTGTAATGTTAAGATGCAAAGCAGCGGCCGATCTTGCAACTTCTGCTTTCGGATTTAATGCCTTGATTGCCGCCATGTTGGTTTGTCAAAGCGGTGGAATTTTTCAACCTCGCTTCAGCCCTTCAGCCTCGTTCATATGCTATCCTTCCCAGTGTCCTCTCAATAGCGGGAATACCATTATCCCGCGGGATTCTACACCCGAAGTTCTTCCCGTGATCACCTGGTTACAAAGCAATTTGCGTGCAATCTATTTCGGTGTTTGCATAATGTGAAGCTTTGGTTTACATTTCCTCATCCTCTTGTTTTGAACTTTGCTGAGCAGGCTGATTTGCACCGGGGCAATATCCGGTTCCGTTTAGATCAGGCCTACGTATTTTCAAGCAACGTGTACAAGTTTAAAACTGTGAAATCAGTGAGTTTTTTGGACATTTTTTCACCATGTCTTCAGCTACCGTCACGGAGAAACCCCTGGTTGGCACAATCGACATCGTTCTATTTGCTTCTTTTGTCGGCGTTGTGCTTTACTGGTTCTGTGGGCGAAAGAAAAAAACAGAGACTGTTCTTTCACAGAAACTCGTGTTAGCGTAAGTATGTTTTCGCTTTGATAATTGTTCCATGTTAAGTCGCTATTTCGCTTTTTCGACATTGATTTGACTACTGCATTTTACGTTTTAGTATTATGCAATAAACTTTAGATTACAGATAGCTTAAGATTAATCACGATCGCTGCAATATATTCATCTTGCATTACAGTAAGTTACACTGAGTTATCGAAATTTCTAGTTTTGCTAGTTTTTTTCTGTGCTAATCGTAGGTCAGCCTTGATGCTCACCTGTACTTTGTGCATGTATGATGTGCCGGGGCCAGTGCATGCAGAGAATGCAAATCAGCCGGTTCTTTAATGTTTATTTGGTTTTAACGGTTAGAAACTATTACTGTAATATGTTGATCTAAGTTTTATCTTCTGGTTGATCAACCACATATAAGTGAATCAACACCTAATGGTTCTTATGAACAACCAATCGCCTCCTATTCTCACCTTTTGGTTAATTAATTAATTTAATATGAGGAATTAACACTGGAAGTGACCGACAGCTACTACATAATTAATAATCTTGAAAACTTTGTATGGTTTCATATTGTGTATGTAGTCCTGGGAGACCAAGGGACAATCAGTCTGGTTGAGAGAAATGGTGCAACAAAAGTTGTCAAGCTCAAGCAGAGGTTTCCTTTGGTCCCTCTCAAAGTGATTCTCACACATGAATGTCTGGACCAAAATTCTTCAAATTTATGAACTGAGCGATATCGATCTAGACTGTACACAATACTTCAAAAGTAGCAGAGGAGGGGGGAGGCAGGGGAGGCTGCGGCCCACCCCAAACAAAATTTGGGGGAGCAGAGCCCCTACGTTTTGGTGGCGAAAAACACTTTTTTTATCCATTCTGTAAAGTTAAACCTCCATCTCATGCCTAGGTCTACCTAACAGCTGCACTTATTGTCTGACACTTCTGCATTGTTTTTGTTGTTGTTGTTAAAAGTATCATATAGTTGTTTAGTAAGTCCTGTTCACTCAACAGTCCTACAACTAGAGTTGCTCAAGAAGACACAAGTTTTATTGGAAAAATGAAAAAATCTGTAAGTCCAATGTCAGCCATTTGTTATTTTTTATACCTTCTAAATCCCTAAAAAGTACAAAATTAAAACCCTTTTGCTGAAGTTCATATTAACCTTTGCAGTATTGTGCTATAATAATATTTATTGGCACCTATGTCATACATAAATTATTGTTGATCTATACTTGGGTTTAAACAGCTAGTATGAAGGAAAAAAAATGTCTTACAGCTACATTGTAGACCTTTTGAAATACACCATAATACTCTTTTGAGTACAGATTTGGATGATGCACTCATCTTACTACAAAGGGGGCAGTGGGAACACTGCCATTTATGGACTAATTGTAGCTACATTGAAAACCGAGGCTGTGCTCTAAAGAAAATTGAAGGGAGCTTGGTGCTCTCAACCTGCAAAATATAGGGTTCCCAGCATATAATTTGTATGAAAAAAATAAGATTTTTTAGTCACACAAGGGCAAACGTTAGGCGCCATGAGCTACTAGGCACTGCTAGAGCACAGCCCTTAAAACAATAAAAAAAGCTAAGCACAAGGCCACAAGCTCAAACTATTGACATTACATGAGGGCACACTCGCTATGAAGCAACTTTTGAATGGTTAAGTAATATATTTTTACTTGGGTTTTAAAATAAGCATATGTACTTAACTCTATTACCTGTTCAATAACAAAGGTATTCATAGTACTTTTCAGGTGATATGTGGAACCACATTATTATCACTCATTGTTTTTAGTGCCAGCTTGCTGTCATTGCTGCCTGTGGCATTTCTTTTGCAGGGAAAATGTATTGCAATATTCTATGGGTCTCAAACAGGAACAGCGGAAGAGTTTGCTGGTCGCTTGGCAAAGGATGCTCAGCGTTATGGGTTGAAAGCTCTAGTACTAGATCCAGAAGAGTGTGATATGGTGAGTTAGTGTACAGCTGTACATGTATTTGTTGCAGATCTTTTCAGGATTTTGTGAAATGGGTTTTAGAATAATTTATTGGAACATGTATACAAATGATGCAAACAAATGTCACAATTCATCGGGATGTAAAGAATGTACTGTCCCACTTGTGTGTACATATGAATATTATTTTTATACTGGTGTATGAAAATACCAATATTCTTCCAGCAATGAAAACATTTTTTCTAAAGAAAACGAGTACCTTTTCAAGAACTGTAATACTGTACAGGTAGTCGAAGCCTACATACAATTTTCAATAAACCACAATAACTGTAACTGGTGTTTACTGGGAAATTACAGTGTAGGCCTTGATAAGCTTGGAAAAGTGTAGGTTATTTACAGTGTACAAGCAGGTTTTTAACGTAGTGTAAAACTATAAAATAAATAACAAAAGTTGGTAATTTTTATTGTCAGTCCATATTCTCCTNGGAAAATGTATTGCAATATTCTATGGGTCTCAAACAGGAACAGCGGAAGAGTTTGCTGGTCGCTTGGCAAAGGATGCTCAGCGTTATGGGTTGAAAGCTCTAGTACTAGATCCAGAAGAGTGTGATATGGTGAGTTAGTGTACAGCTGTACATGTATTTGTTGCAGATCTTTTCAGGATTTTGTGAAATGGGTTTTAGAATAATTTATTGGAACATGTATACAAATGATGCAAACAAATGTCACAATTCATCGGGATGTAAAGAATGTACTGTCCCACTTGTGTGTACATATGAATATTATTTTTATACTGGTGTATGAAAATACCAATATTCTTCCAGCAATGAAAACATTTTTTCTAAAGAAAACGAGTACCTTTTCAAGAACTGTAATACTGTACAGGTAGTCGAAGCCTACATACAATTTTCAATAAACCACAATAACTGTAACTGGTGTTTACTGGGAAATTACAGTGTAGGCCTTGATAAGCTTGGAAAAGTGTAGGTTATTTACAGTGTACAAGCAGGTTTTTAACGTAGTGTAAAACTATAAAATAAATAACAAAAGTTGGTAATTTTTATTGTCAGTCCATATTCTCCTCTTTTGTGTGCCATGCTACATTATTGTAATCACTCCCTGCCCAGTTTGTTACCCAATGTTTAATTTCCTTTCTTGCCGAGAGAGTGAGAGAGTAAAACCAAAGAATTTTGACTGAGTTTAAAAAAATAATATTGTCACCTATTCAGAAAACTCTGAACACCTGGCTGAAGTATTGAAGGAAAGTTTGTTGTCTTATGACTTGTCACAACAAAGATCAGGACGCAGTAGCAAACCTCAAACCACAAACTAATTACTGTTGCTGCTCCCTTCTTCAGTTTTCTTGCACCTGGTTGGCTTTTTTCTTGCAACACAGTAACATTAACAATTATTTCTGGCATTCATGGTTTTCAGAGTTTCACAGGAACATACAGTTTCATATTACCAAGCATCAATTTATATCAAACCATTTGACTTAGGTTACTTTGCAACTGTAAGAAATGTTGTATCACGAAAACAAGTCATGTATTGCCGATTTTTTTTTTAAAGGAAGAACTCACTCGCATGGGTGAAATTGAGAACTCTCTGACGATCTTTGTAATGGCTACTTATGGTGAGGGTGATCCTACAGACAATGCACAAGAGTTCTATGAATGGCTTCAGAATGACCGGGATGATTTAGATTGCCTTAATTACACAGTAAGCATGTACTTGCATATGTAGAAATTAATAAATTATATAAACCAAGCCAAGCTTTTAAGGAGACATTCTGCTAAAATACTTGCTATTCACATAAAGCAATAAACTTTTTTATTATATAGATACTGATGAAATTCCAGGATTTTTCCTTTTTCCAAAAAATCATATCTTCATCGCGTGCAAAGAAGATACTAATTTTATCTCTCATGTGTGAGAATATTGGTGTCGCCATGGTTACTAACACACTTTTGACTTTTTGGAACAGAAAATATAAGTACTATTGTCTTTATTTCTCCTTTATAACTTTATATCCGAGTTTCATAACACTTTTGTGACAAGCTTTTTGCGATATGTGACCACTTTAATTACAATATTTTGGTCTTTCAAAAATGAATAAAGAAAAGTCGTGTTTTATGTAGGAATTTCATCAGTATCTATAAAATAAACAAACATTACACGGCCGCTTGGGGATACAAATCTTCTCGTGCTGAAAGTATCTCTCATATCTCTCACTCGTCAGCTTCGCTCACTTGTGAGAGATACTTTCAGCACTCGAAGATAAAATTCGTATCCCTGTGTGGCCATGTCATATCCTCTATATCCATTGCAATTGTGGTAAATTACCTCTGACACAAAAATTTAAGACCTTGAGTTTGTGATCCAGTGAAAAAGTATCAAGTGGTGTGCAGTCTATTTCATATCACTAGGGATATGTGTTTCCCGGGTATGGGAACTCATATCACTAGGGCTATGTGTTTCCTGTGTAAGGGATCAGTTATCATTAGGGCTGTGCTTCCTGGTTAGGGGAACACATATCACTAGGGATATGTGTTTCCTGGGTAGGGGAACACATATCACTAGGGATATGTGTTTCCCAGGTAGGGGAACACATATCACTAGGGATATGTGTTTCCTGAGTAGGGGATCAGTTATCACTAGGAATATGTGTTTCCTGAGTAGGGGAACACATATCACTAGGAATATGTGTTTGCTGAGTAGGGGAACACATTTCACTAGGGATATGTGTTTCCTGGGTAGGGGAACACATATCACTAGGGATATGTGTTTCCTGGGTAGGGGAAAACATATCACTAGGGATATTTGTTTCCTGGGTAGGGGAAGACATATCACTAGGGATATGTGTTTCCTGGGTAGGGGAACACATATCACTAGGGATATGTGTTTCCCAGGTAGGGGAACACATATCACTAGGAATATGTGTTTCCTGAGTAGGGGATCAGTTATCACTAGGAATATGTGTTTCCTGAGTAGGGGAACACATATAACTAGGGATATGTGTTTCATGGCAAGGGGAACACGCATCATTAGGGATATGTGTTTCCTGGATAGGGGAACAAATGTTACTAGGGATATGTGTTTCCTTGGTAGGAAAACACATATCACTAGGGATATGTGTTTCATAGGGGAACACATATTACTAGGGATATGTGTTTCCTGGGTAGGGGAACACATATTACTCGGGATGTGTGTTTCCTTGGTAGGGGAACACATATCACTAGACATATGTGTTTCCTAGATAGGGGAAGACATATCACTAGGGATATGTGTTTCCTAGATAGGGAAGACATATCACTAGTGATATGGCTTAGGTTACATGCCACTGATCACCAAAGCCACGCGAACAACAGACCATACCGCTATGCTGATTGATCACTAGGGATATGTGTTTCCTGGGTAGGGGAACACATATCACTTGGGATATGTGTTTCCTTGGTAGAGGAACACAAATCACTAGGGATACGTGTTTCCTGAATAGGGGAACACATATTACTAGGGCTATGTGTTTCGTGGGTAGGGGAACACATATCACTAGGGAAACACATATCACTAAGGATATGTGTTTCTCATGTAGCGGAACACGTATCGCTAAGGATATGCATTTCCTTGCTAGGAGAAGCAAGTTTAACTAATGATATTGTGTTTCTTGGGTAGGGGAACACATATCACCAGTTACGTGTGGCTCCCAGACCCTTCACCTGGTGCTGGGCCTTTGTCTTCCTTGCCAGCTACTTTCTCTTATTGTCCTGCTATGTGAACCATTTTTGACAACCCTGCTTAATATGTATAACCTAAGGGAGGTGGGTTTTCTATGGTTTATAGGTTTGATTCCTAGGAATGGTTTTTATATGGCAGCTTGTAGTTGTTTAAGCAGCATGAATTTACTCTCTTATTGATCTAAGAGTATTATTTTGGTCTGTATTTTTAGGTATTTGGACTTGGGAACAAAACTTATGAACACTACAATGCTATGGGCAGATTTGTAGACAAAAGGCTTGAAGAAATGGGGGCAAACCGGGTGTTTGAAAAAGGAGAAGGAGACGATGATGGAAAGTGAGTTTAGGTAGTCTTTTTTTCTAGCCACATTAGCTAGTGCAGGCATTTATTTGTTCTTGCCCTGTCCAAACTAGAACATGATAGCACCTACACTTATCCCTTTAAGTCTCAGGAGTGACAAAAATCTATTTTCTCTTAATCATGTCAATATGTAATCAAGAGGAAATATCATGAGAATTGATAAATTGATCACTTAAGTGAAAATGCTTTGTTAACCAAATAATTCTCTTAACTGGTTCTTGAATGTGGAGAATTTTTGTGTGGATATTGGGGTTTAAGTTATAATGGATACATGTATGGCTACATGCATGCTACGCATGCGTAATAACAACATGGAGATTAGGATTGTGGGCTCCTCTTGTCACCTGCAAAAACTTATCTGGAACAAAAGTAATATGTGTTGGAAATGCCACCTGGTGTTGGCATCTATTTTTGACAGGCCTTCTAATCGCAATAAATGTCAATTTCACAAGAATTAAGATTGTACAGGTAAAATTCTAAAAATTTCATGTGTAAGACGTAATTTTGTGAAATTTGACATTCATTTTCATGGGCTCCGATGAGAAATTTTTTTTGGTGTTACTACAAATGATTTGTTACATCTTTAGCCCTTGAAAAATGTAAGAAAGAATGCAATATGCTTTAAATTATTCTGGTACAAGATTTTTGTCCACTGAAAATCAAAATTACTCAATGTCCTGATGGATTCTGTCTTAAAGTCATTTGAACTTAAATGCAGCATTATTCACCAAGTTATGATAAGAAACTATATTTTTTTGTCATTTTTTTAATCCTCATTGTTCATGTTGCCCTTTTTCTAAAATAATGGTGTTCTGATCCAAGATTGTGGATCAAAGAGAGTGGTTGTTTGGATTCAGAAAATGGTTGCATGATTCCCTTTGTAAATAAGGCAAATGTTTCATGTTTCAGCTTAGAGGAAGATTTTGTAAGATGGCGAGAGCAATTCTGGCCAGCAGTATTGAGTAAATACAACATCGATATCCGAGAAATTAAGAGGTAAGTAACCTACCGGTACATCAGTTGGGCTATTATTCTGGGCTGTCATTAAAATTTCGAGTTGCCAGGCTAGTGATACATGTAGATGGGGAATCAAACAGCTAAGGATTTTGTTTTGTTCTATTTGTCTTCTATTTTCCTACAAACGTAAGTAGGGGTCACGCTCATAACAGCCGGAGAAAATCCCTGGCCCCTGGCCCTTAATGACAGCCCTGGCTACTCATAGTCAAAGACCACACATATTAAGGTTTAGTATTTTTTGCTTGAAAAAGCGTAGTAGCCTTCAGTAAATGGTCTGATTTGTTGTGGTAGCACTCATTTGAGGGCAGTGCTAATTCGAGTGTAAATAAGCACAGTCCAAGTAATTATTACTTAGACTGTGTTTGTTGTTTTCTTGTGTATTAACACTGAGGTATCTGATACTCACCTCTAAATTTTTGCAGGAGACTGTCATCTTGTATTGAACGTCAGTTCAAACTTGTGATTCATGAGGACTTACCTCAAGACAAGATTTACACTGGGGAAATGAACAAACTGAAGTCTTATGTCACTCAACGTCCGTAAGTATATATGTATGCGTACAGTACAATTGGCGTTTGTTTTATTAGAAGATCAAGGTCAAAATATCTTAACGTTATTTGTAAGCAGAATGGTGCAGTTTATCAGTGGTCACAAATAAGGGAAATTTTCCATGCTCTCTGACAATCACCATGTACGTAATTTTTATGCATATATGTTCAATGATGTATGATTTGTTATGTCTTTACCCTGTTTTTCAGGCCTTTTGATGCCAAGAACCCTTTCTTGGCACCTATGTTGGTGAATCGTGAACTGCACAGAGCTGGCAACCGTTCCTGTATGCACATTGAGCTTGACATCACCGGCTCCAAAATAAAGTATGTTTAGACTGAATTTTAAAATATTGTTCATTTCATTGATGTTAATACAAAGTCACATTTTTTTTTTGGCACTACCCCTTCCCATCATTATCCTTTTCATCAATATAATCACTGTCATTGTCCTCATGATCTATGTACATGTAGTGTTACGGCACCAACACTGCAATTATACCTCAACAACTTTCTTTATTTGATCATTTTCTACACTGTTCTTATTTTGCATATCAATGTAAAAAGAGCTTTTTTAGATGATGTGGCACACCGTTTTCAAACTAGTAGCAGCAATGACCAACGGATAATACATAAATTTTCAAATAAAGATTTTATTTTAAAAAAGAATCTTAAGTGGTACCCTTACCTGGCTTGACTGTAACTTAGGAAGTAGCTTGTCCTAGAGTATTTCGCTTGCTACTCAGCGATTGTAATCTAGAGATTCTGGTTTTATTTGCTGTGCTGACCATGTGGATAGATAAGTTTCTTTGTAATCTTAAGTTCATCTCCTCAAGTTTGTTTGTGAATAGCTAAATGATTCAGTTACCCACTGTTAGGGGAAATAATCCTTTTGCCACTTGTGGTATTATCAGTTTTTGTTTTTAGGACCCTTTTACTCCCAGTGTGAATGATGGAGTCTAATAGGGTGCTAATTCTAACTTTGGAGTCTGTGGAGATAAAACCTGCATTGTGACTATTCACATGAAACCTCTTTGCTAGTACTTTCACACGGAAGTATTTTTTTCAGCATTTTACAAAAAGGGAATTAGAATTTTAAGTTTGGGCTTAACCCTTTTTTGGGGTGAAACGGTTAATCAAAGTACATCAACCTGGGTGAACAAAAATGCACAGTAATTAACTGACTTTGTCTTGTGTTTGAAGATATGAAGCTGGAGATCATGTGGCAGTTTATCCTACCAATGACCCTGAACTTGTAGAGAAGCTTGCAAGCATGTTAAATGTTGACCTGGATGCTGTCATCTCACTTCAAAACAGGGATGGTGAGCATATATTCATTTAATATTAGAAAAGAATAGAATAGAATAGAAAACTTTATTAATGCGTCGGAGCCGTATAGCTTGGGAACAACCCTATACTAATTTGGGGACACAAATTATTCCAGTGTATAAGTATATGGCTTGATAATGTGCCATGTCAGTTTCCAGTTGACCCTTGATCCACAAAGACCATCTTGGGGACAGATGTAAGTGGCTGTTGTACAGGCTTCAAATAGAATTGACGGATGTTAAAATGAGGGAATGCGTGGGCTATCCACCGTGGCAAAGAAATAAGTCATTGTGGAGAGGTCGAGCCAGGTTTGCTATTACAGTTCTGCCTGCATTATCCATTTGTCAAGCTTGTAACTTGGTAGGAAACAGTCTTTCATTTAAAAGAATGTCAGCATCGAATATAGTTCATTTTGATGCATTTGATGTCAGTTATACAAATCTGTCACAAATCCCTAGAATGTGCCGCAGATTAATACATAAATCTTCCAGAGATTAAATTGAAAATGAGTTTTTTCAGAGGAAGAATATGTAGACGTGGCATAGTTTTTTGTAGTGAACTGACCTTGATTTCTTTCCCCAACCTTTTAGAGGATTCGCCTAAGAAGCATCCTTTCCCTTGTCCAACAACGTATCGAACTGCTCTGCTGCACTATGTGGACATTGCCAGCGTAGTCAAGACTCATGTGTTGAGGGAATTAGCAGAATACGCCAAAGACTTTCACCACAAAGACTTTCTCATAAACATTACAGATACCACAGAGGAGGCGAAAGTAAGTCAAGTAGTTAGCTGCCTATTGTGATTAATTGGAGTAATTACATTAGTTTTAGCTTCGCTACACTTACATACATACACTGATTACAGATAGCCGTTACGGCACCTGAAGGATGATCATGAGGTTATCCCTATATTAAGGTCTCTCATTACAGATAACGCACCCAGCCCAGGAAGGCTAAAATACTGGAACACACTCTAATCGCCCTGTTTATCGATCTTTAGAAACAATACCACGACTGGGTTATGAATCCACACCGTCATATCGTTGCTGTGTTGGAGGATCTACCATCCCTAAGACCACCACTGGATCACTTGTTAGAGCTTCTCCCGCGACTGCAATGCCGCTACTATTCCATCTCATCATCGCCAAAGGTAGAGTAGACTTGCAAACTACAGTTAAGGAAGCGTAATTTCTGTAGTCAACTAGTCTTTATGCAATTATGCATAGCATTTTTTACCGCTCAGTCAGTAGAGCACTTGACCGGGAGGTCGCGGGTTCATTTTCCAGGACTGGACCATACCAATACAGTGCCGGATCCAGACCTTGAGATAAGGGGCGGGGGGGGGGAGGGGGAGGGGGCCGGTCATCCAGACCCTTAGATAAGCGGGGGCAGGTATCCCAAAAAAATATTTTTCGGTCCTTCGAGCCTCAGTTTGGTCTAAAAATAAGGGGGGGGGCTGGGCCCCCCAGGCTCCTCCCCTGGATCCGCCCCTGCAATACTGAGGGTCCTAAAATAACTGAGAAATGAAGGTACTGCCTTTGCCCTGAAAATGCTTAGACCTTAACGTGGCTCCCATGACCACGTAGAACGGTGGTCCCGTCTCCAGTAGAAGATCACGTAAACGTAGTGTTCTTAATCAATACTTTCGTGCTAAATACATTGACTCTCGTTTTACACTAATCTTGCGGTTGCTTAGTCTGCTACCCAGCCGTTTTTAGTGTCGTCACGCAACGCTCCTGTGGTTGCTCAGCTATCATTTTGCTTGAAAAGCAAGTTTTTCGGGGGTCTGAAAATTCTTAAAGTATAGGATTTTTTTAGTCGTAGGGAATCTGATAATTTGTGGAACGACAGATGATAAAAATTTTCCAACAAGTTTGTGTTCTTCTGTCACTCCTATTATATCTCGTTTTCACACAAGAGTACAGTAAATATTAAGTTGAAACGACCGCATTTCTCTTACTTCTGACTAAATCTACTGTGACAATTAAAAGTACCGGAATTTGGTGAGACTGTCCGGTCCATGCTGCGGTTTAAGGTCGTGACTTTTTGTGCTTTGCTTTTTAAAAGATGTACCAGAACTCCATTCACATCACTGCGGTACTTGTACGATGGACCACATCAACTGGTAGAGTGCAGAAGGGTGTGGCCACTACCTGGCTATCAACCAAGAGGCCCAAAGGTGAGTACTCTTTTGCACGAAATAATACCTAACAAACAGACTATTCCCTAAATCTCTATGTAACAATTGCAGAAACCAATTGAAAATGAACCTCTATTAGGCGGTCGCGGTCACCTTTTGGCCATCCCGACGAGATTTCTCCTATAGTTGTCACCTCTATTAAGCGGCCATCAAACGCTTAATTCACGTTTGATTCACTTAGTGTGGCTTTATTAAGAAAAATATGATGAAGTGAAATACAGCCCGAGATAGAAGGTGACGACTGATTATGAGTTATTAATGCCGCTCCCGTCGCGTTGGATTCCATGTTGTATTGCTTTTGTTCATTCGGGAGATTTTACCAACGACGACCACGACGTCATTTGTGATAACCCTTAAGGAAGGTCTCATACTCAGGTGCAATTCCACCAATTCGGTTTTGGCTCTATTAAATGCTTTTCATCTACAATCATCGACAAAAGTCTTGGGACACTTTTGCATTTCTGGGGCGTTTACCAATTCACACAGGTCCAACCCTTCGCCTCACCCCACAAACAATGTTGGACGCGTGTATCCAGAATTTTTTCCGAGTTTCAACTTTGTAAAGGGTGGGGGGAGGGAGAACTGCAAGAAAATTCCAAAAAGGATGCACTGTTTAATGAGGGAACCGAGAAATGACAGAAAAATATGAATATTGCATTATTGTGTCAAAGATTTTTGTCCATGATTGTAGTTATTGGGCAAATTTCGTAATTTTTCTTCTACATTTTCTTCCTTTGCAGAAGGAGAACCTCCTCGCGTTCCAATCTTTGTCCGTAAAACCCAGTTCCGTCTGCCGTTTAAATCAGTGACACCTGTTATCATGGTGGGGCCTGGGACGGGCTTGGCGCCTTTCAGAGGATTCATACAGGACAGACATATGCAGAAACAGAATGGTGTGCACAGTAAAATCAAATTTTTAAAACAGCAAAATGTGTCATTTCGTGTTGTTAAACACTGAAATATTAGTAGCGTTATGTAAGAGGTTTCATTGGAATCGTCTCAACATAGGATTTTGTCCAAAGTTAGAACTACGTACTAAATAAATAGTACCACGTGAAAGTACTGTCGGAGTGGTTTTATTTCAATGGTCACAACCAAGGATTTTGTTAACACGCTCAACAGTAAGAACTACCAAGAGCCATAATGGCTCTTGAACTACATGATGATTCACGACATATCTCTGTTAGTGACGTTGATAATGAAATGTAGTGTTTGTGTGTGTGTGTGTGTGTGTAGTAAATGTTATTTTAAAAAAAAGACATTTCAAGGCGAACACCTCCCTAAAAGGGACACCTAGAGTACTCGTCAAAAATCTTGAAACAATTGTGTGCGTTTCTCCTTCCTCAATGTTGATTTGGGTATTACAGTCGTCTCAGTGCTCCAAAATACGCGTGGCTCAACATTGGGGAAGGAGAGGTGCAAATTTGAGTGAGAACCCAAGTGCGATAAGTGAATGTAAGAAAGTTTCGAGAAAATTCACAAGAAACGGTGTCTTTTTAGTTCTTTTTCAACGATTTGTGACGAGTATTGTGGTCCCTGTTGTTCCTCAGTAATATTTTTTGACTCTTTCTAAGGCAGAAAACTCCCTAAAACGAACGCCTAAAGTTGGTCCTTACTGTTTTTCAATCATTTTCTTTTATAAATCTTAGTTTAAGGCGAAAACCTCTCTAAGGCAGACACTTAAACTTATAGTGTCCGTCCGTGTTCACCCGGTTACGAACTAGTCCATTCTAGAGACCGCGACGAAAAATGTCCGTTCACGGCGCTTTTTACACATTTATAGGTGAACGCGTTTACTCATATAAGCGGACTCGCGTGGACATAACCTTGTATCACGGCAAAATAAGGTCTTTTTTTGTTAACAGGGAAACAAATTGGAGACATTGTGTTGTTTTTTGGATGCCGCAAGAAGAGTGAGGATTACATATATGAGGATGAACTTACCTCTTATGAAAAAGATGGAACAATCGCTGACCTGCATGTGGCTTTCTCCCGCGACCAGGTGAGACA